GTTATGGGTTGTGCCCAATCATAAAATTCAGCTTCTGGCACAAGAGGTTCCACTACTCTGACGTTAGGGATCACTGGCGGATCCCCGACGTTTCCGTTGACGTTTTCTGCGTCTCCCATGTCAAATTCGAGCTGGTGTGGTTGTTGTGATTGTTGGATTCTCTTGTTGTCACGGTTCAATGCCTTGAATGTTTTCTCGTGGTCTGAGAGTCCTTCTAGCAGTTCTCCAGTCCTCGAAGAATTTCTAGGCATACACCTGAATTCCACAAGAGTTCAAACGTGAGAATTTCAATGAAAAGATTGGGTATAGAGAAAACTGACTACACTAATCCAACCTTTAAACCCTCGGTTATGACTCTCGCCTATACTCCGGGAGTGATGTTGTTCAAACAACTACCTAAATATGTACTCTCTCTCAAGCAGATACATAATAAATAAGAACGGCTAATTGAGGATCCTTTCAATTAACCAAAATCAAAACGTAGTTGAACAAATAGAGATTAACAACCAACTCAAAACTATATTAATATAACAACCAATTCATCCCCAACGGGTTTCACCCAAAACCTTAGATTAAAAGATTTAGCTACTCATAACAATGATGAAAACTACAAAAGAATCATAGTCATTGATAAAAGAACAAATTAGGGAGAAAAGAATTGTTTCCCAAGTTGCCTCCTTGCCTCTCTTGTCTTGTTCTCAAACCTCCAAAAACTCTCTTCTTCTCTTGGACGCGTTAAACCTTTTATAGTTTATGTGGTTTTTTTGCTTTGGACTTCCGAATTTGCCCTTTCAAATACTTTTCCCACACCTGGACTAGCGCGGGCGCGCTAAGGCCGCGCTAAGGCCCGCGCTAAGGCCCGCGCTAGTGGGGTTATATTCTGCTTCTGATGACTGGACTAGCGCGGGCGTGCTAAGGCCGCGCTAATGCCCGCACTAGTGGGGTTTCCCACTGCCAAGCCGAGCTTCATTCCCTTATTTCGTCCACTAATTCCAATTTTTGCCCGGATCACCATCATAAGTCTTCATTTGAGTAGTGCACTCCTGTGAAACACAAAAGTCACCATTAGAGCCAATTTTTTGCGTTATTTACACACTTAAAACAATAAAGCATCCTTAAGTTAGAGTCCGAACGTAAGCAAACTATACAATTTAGCCTATGATCATATATAAAGGGTAATTTTTTTAAACGGATTAATAAAGTAATAGTGCTGCGGAATGAAAGTAACTGTATTCTGACCTCCGATCCATAATAAATGATTTTTGATCTCTTTATTTTGGTTCAAAATACGTGTCCTTTTATATAATAAAAAAGAATTAATTTTATTTTCTCAAAACTTACCCTTATTTAATGTATAAAGTTAACAATATGCAAATTTTAATTAAGGGTAATTCAGTTAAATATATTTTTCTTTAGGAGTTAGTATTTTCTTAAGGGGTATATCAAAGGTAAAAAAAGTCACTTATTATGGATCGGAGGGAATAATATTTAGCACTCAAATTGGTGAAAACAATTTATTTTTTTTCATTTATAAAAGAAGTTTGGATTTCTGAACATACCCGTTGAGTTAATAAGCTACTAATCTTCTCGTTTATCTCTCTACTCTCTACCCTTAATCTTATGAGTGATCCAATCATTCAAGAAGTTTTATCTGTAACTAAGTGAATCCGAACCTTGTTATTTAGGCTATATTATCCTTAAATTTGAGACTATTCATTTTCCCTTGAGGAGACAAAGGAAATATAGCTTTCTCCTCTTCAACGTAATTAAATAAAAACATGATTGTTGAATACCTCCGGCTTTGAATAATTTTAGTGAATTTGATGCACATCACTACATGTTTTTATTGCATGTCGTAATCTTTAAATAAAATTAAGAACATTTAGTGGTGGCAAAATGGATTTTTAAAAAAAATAGTTATTCATCCGTATTATCCACTGAAAATGGGTTAGATAATAAACTTTTTTTAAAACGGTCAAAATATGAATAAGAGCCATATTATCCACTTAGAAAATGGATATCCAATGGATTACTAATGGACTTAGCTTTTACATTCGTAAAGACTCAAATTGGGGGTTCCTCAAGCTTGGAAGACTAGAAATTTTTCCAAAAATGAATATTCAAAAAGTCATGGGAACCTATTTTCTATCTGCATTAAATATAAGTCGGAATAAGTAATTTATCCGATTTTACATTACCCGTCTTTGGCCCGCCCGTTTGTCACCCCTAAGAACCTTCGTTGAATGAGCAACTGAATTTCAGCAATCTTTTGGCTTTATCTTTTGTTGCTATTAGTTAAATTGCCACACTGAATGAACTTGACTCGTTATCTTTTGCACTTTGTTGATCGTGTTATCTTTATTTTCATCACCACATTAACAGGCCCTCTCTTTTTCTCTATAATACGATTAATTGTTTAAAACAAAGATTAGGCTGGTCTAAGGTCATTTTTAAATGTCAAATCATTGTCTCCTAATTGCAACTTTGCTGTCATTATCTTTCCTTGATTTCGGGGCTTAGTTGACTAAAAAATAACAGAAATAAATGTGTCTAAATGTGGAGTGTGGCATCTTCCATATAGTTTATTAAACTCTTAATCTTTACCTGAAAACTAGGGGCCAAAAACTAACCGGGTAATAGTTTATTTTGATGATGATGAATCAATTTATTAAACTCGTAATCTTTACTTAGAAACCTACCTGGTAATATTTTGTCTTGATGATGATGAGTCAATGTTTGTGTGCCACAAAAAGAAAAGAAAAAAGAGGCCCATTAAGATAATAGCTTAAGACCTTTGAAGAGAGGCCACATTAAACCAAGTGCTACTTAATGATTATGGACTCCTTTTGATCAAAGTTGCTAAATACAAATCTTACAGGGAAGCTAAAAGCAAAAGTTCGTCCAATCCAATGCGGTCAAATATTCTTTCAAAAATTATCTTTCTTACTCTTTTTGATAATTATTACTATCACTCAACCATATTTTTATTTGAAGAATCAAACTGCTCTTTTTTTAATTTAGTTTCGTAACCTCAATGTTACCTGATGGTAGGCTAGAAACATAGATTTGGTCTTCATTTCACCTATTATTGACTACATTTCAACCGTATTTGTGCTTAAATGTGAAGATTTTGTATTATGACGTAGTTTATGTGTTTAGAACTTGAACCCGGGCTAAAATAGAGTACGGAGCTTCGAAATCTTGTAGAAGCCCAATTAAATCATCCAGGATCAAGTCCGAAGTTCGGGAACCGACATACGAAAGTTGAAAGAAAACGAATGTCGGAGAATTAATGAGGTGGGGAGGGGGCATCACATAGGGAGACACATTAGTGCAAATTTTAATCAGAGTCAAAAGATCAGAGAGTAACCAGTTGGAGATAGTCTACTAGTGCAACGCACACTACATCGTATGATGTGAGAGTAATCAATTGGAGATAGTCTACTAGTGCGACACACAGTGCAATGTATGATGTAACGCAACAATTTATTTTGACGGCCAGAATTTTCACTTCGGTGGGGGAATTTTTGACCTACGGAGGGTTGAGAGAGCATAGAGGCTTCAAGACACAAGAATTCATCATCCTTCCGCCGGTTCAATATACGAGTTTGAATTGTAATATTACATTAATGTTTTCTTATTCACTAAGTTTATTTGTGGTATCCCTTAGGGGATGGCCCAGTTTGTTTGGAGGGCGGTCATCCATACAGATGACCTGTGATCAATCCCCCCTCAATGCCTTCTAGGTCGAACCTGTCGCATAGTGTCTACTGTGCGGTTTACATCCTCTGTGTAGTTTGCAGGCTATTACACAATGTGGGGTTTACCCATTGCGCACAGAGCGCTCACCCAAAAGGCAGAGGCCGTAGTTACTGCGGGTTTTCCTGGGGTTTCAAAAAAACACTTTATTTGTGGTGATTTCTCCCACTGTTATTGAGTAGTTTTCCCTTAAGAGTTTTGACAAACATGGTATATTAATTTCTGTTTAGAGATTCGAATATTATTATTTGCTTGAATTAATTAATGGAGTTTTGATTATGTTGTAGAATTACTCATTATCTTTCTTAATCGAAAGAGAAGTAACTTATTAAATATATTTGCATCGTATGCTAGTTTCAATTCGTGATTCTTCTAAAAAAAATCGCAAGAGCTTTAATTTTGAATTGTTAGTTGAACTAGAATATAGAAGAACATTCGTGAGAAGAATTGAACTGAAATATTAGCCAATACTATTTTTGTCCTGAAATTTTAAACTAAAAATCTCAACTTCAGAATAATTCAAAATATTTATCCTAAAAAGTTAGAACTAAAAACTAAAATCAGGATGCACTAGCTAATTCCTAAATAGCAACCTTTAAAGTGGCTGCCTGGTGTCATTTCTACAATCCTGCTGTGTATTGAAACCCTTTTACTTACGAAATAGACTGGACAAGTTGCCCCCTAAAGCCCAAGTTATCATACCACTTCTAGTCTAGCCAAGAGAAGAGCACAACTTTGATTGTGAAGCACCGAACAAGATCAGCTGTATCAAGCAACTAAACTTCTGGATTACTAAATTAAACACATGCTGGACCATGGCTTTCAACACAAAAGTAATAAATGATTATTTATTTGAATTAGTCTTAGCTTTTAACTGCATTTCTGTCTTACAAAATTACCGAACAAAATAATGAGCTAGAGGTGTCTTATTACCTAACCGCCATCAGAGTAAAGTTTATACTGATAGAAACCAGAAATTGAAATGAAGACTTTTTCCTGGAGAACCTCATTTTTCCTTCGCTTTCATATACAAATCTATCTCCATGAATTTTACAACTTATATTCTACTAAAAACCCGGAAAGACTCTCTACCTTCTCAAGGTAGGAGGGAAATGTCTGCATATACACTACCCTAAACCTCATTGGTGGGATTACACTGGGTTTGTTGTTGTTGTTAGCTTCTACTAAAAACCTTGTGAAGTGTATTTATACTTCAGCTACTTTTTTCCAATTTTCTCCACTTCGACAAACTTCAAGAACAATACAGGATATATAAATTGTTGTCATAGAATACAATTGAGTAGTAAACACGCGGCACAAATCCGATGAGGCTTCAAGGAGAAACTGAACTTAACTTGTCAAAATTGTCCACCATCGCTTACAATATAGGTCTACAACTATAGAATGTATACTATTGAACAGTCGTATAGAAAGATATAAAGCGTAAAATCTGCAGAAATTTTACACATGCTAAAGCATTTCACCTGCCAAAGCATTTCATCACTGAAGAAATCATAGAAGATGAGAGAAATTTCAAGCCAGCAGAGCCACCGGGAAAGTAAGAAACTGCATAATATGCTAATGCCAGAACCTAAAATGACAGGAAACTGTCAACGTCAAGATTCAATTAACGATAATTGCTTTTATGTTAGTTGAAAACTGGAAATCTGAGAGAGGAATAAATTATCATGACAACAAATAACTGCAAAAAGGTGAAAAAAGAAAAGAACTGACTAAACGGAAATAGTAACACTGAAAATGTAAATACCTGAAGCACAGAAAAGAGCACTGAAAGGATATAGCTATGGAGTGCCATGGAAACATAGAGTGTGCCCACCATGCTGCCTATGAATCCTACTGTAAAAGGAAGCCTCTGGTACAGATGACGGGGAAGAGAAAAGATCAGAGGACAATAACCCATAGACAGAAAGCAACACGGACCAGCAGTAAGGGGAAAAAGAAAATACCTCCATTGAGAACATATGAGCAAACTGATTCTTTGGACCCCTAAGTGCAAAGAACGACCCAATAATAAAGGAACATCCAAGAGCAAAGCAAATGGCAAATTTCTGGGGCACCAATACTATCACTGGGAGGAACAAAGTAAATGCCATGAAAATGAAGAAGACTCCAGTCGCCATGAATAGGCCAAAATACATGAGGGCTTTTCCAGAAGGTATGTTGCTAGTGGCAGACTGAAAATTCCCTGGAATGTCTCTCACTCCTTTGGAAACCCTGAATAAGGATCCACAAACCACTATTCTAAGCAAAACATTACTCAAATAACTCAAAATGTCAATGCATTCAAAAAAGCAGGGAAGAAATACAAGAGTCATATGGCATTTCACTATAAAGCTTCTCTCCAGTCCATGATTTCGTTTGTCTGAAATAAGTAAAACTATAACAAATGCTAAATATGGTATCACAATACAAAATTAATGAAGAAACAAGATTGGAATTCTACCAAGCAACCATAACACACTCGTTCAAATAAAGACATAACATTGGCACAAAGTATGAATTATAGAAGAAATGGCTTTCACAGAAACCAGTCCATGACAAGAAGACTCCAAGCTTTAATGGAAGAGGATCATTTCTTCTGTGATAAGTTCCAACCAGCTAACTACAATTTTATGCGATTCCAATACCTCATGTGTCATTGTACTTACTTACAGAAGAATTAAGTTTCACAATATTGATAACAGATATGATAAATAGACACGACCAAAGACTCCAAGCTGCACTGAAAGAGAATTCTTTCTCCTAAGTACTAGCCAGCTAACTGCAGACCTCTGTTGTTTCGAGGACTCTTATTGTTATCTCACTCTTGCCTTTCATTATGCAATTTAAAGTGAAACCAGATACTCTGCTATCTACAAATCAAGCCCTCTGTTTCATAAAGTTCTTTTGTTTCTAAAAATCGGATTGTCTCATAAAGTTCATAACATGCACAGATTTATGATCTCCCAGAATAATGGCTCGTCAACATGAAATATCAATCACATTAAAGTTCTTTTCTCTTTTTCTTTTGGGGTGTGGGGGTGGTTTGGGGGGGGGGGTAGGGG